TGCATGACGATTTGCTTGAAGTCGCCAAGAACTATCAGTGCGACATCTGTCAGAACTTCACAAACAAGAAGCCAGCAAAAGCATCTGCTCTTCCTTTGGCGAGAAAGTTCAACGAGATTCTTGAGATGGACATCTTCCACATCCGGTGGGACGACAAGAAGCTGCGAGTCCTAGCCCTCATCGATCTTTTCTCGCGATATGAGATGAATGCTGAAGTTTCTGCAGAGACAGAGAAGGAAGAGCTGAAGGTCATTGAAGAATGGATCAACGTCTTCGGATGCCCACAGCAGATCCGAACTGATGCTTCAGGAGCCCACATGAGTGAAGCTTTCCTGAACTACATGGATGATCGGAACATCAAGCTCATTTTGATTCCATGTGATGCACATCACAAGATGGGAACTGTTGAACGATTGCATGCAGTGAGGCGTCTACAACTTCTCAAGATGAAGCAAGAGACTCCAAGTCTAAAGCTTTCAGATGCAGCCCCACTGGCCTGTTCCCTTCGGAATCGTTTGAGATCAGTTCACGGATCTTCACCTTCTCAAATTGTCTTCGGATCCAATGCTGGAGATTTGGGACTGATGGATGAGCCAATGACCAATGCAGCTGAGCCAACAAAGCAATACCAGCAATTGCAACAACTACGTTTGCAAGCTGCCAAGGCCTTCTATGATGCAAATTACAGTACAACCTTGAGGAAGGCATTGCTCAGCAAAAGTCGTGCAGAAGCCACTCAGTTCTTCGTGGGAGATTGGGTCTACTACTGGCGTGAAGGTGATTCAAAGTTGGAAGTCAGTCGTTGGCGTGGCCCGGCACTCATTTGCAGTATGCAACCCCGAGGGATGACCGACTCTGATGCTGGTCCTCGCCCCGATGTTTACTGGCTGGCCCATGGGAGCGCTCTTCTTCGTGTGAGCCATGCTTCTTTGAGAGCCGAAACACCCATGGAGCGCCAAGCTCGTTTGGTTCACCTTCCATCTACTGCCCGAACACAGGATGTTCAGACTACGGTTCGGCAACTTCTCCGTCCCGTGCGGGGGCCCGTCCGATTTCTTGACCTCCTTGGGGACCCACCTTTTGCTGACGCAACGGGCAATGATGAACCACCGCCAGATGAAACGACTCCCAATCAAGATGCTGAAAATGATGAACAACAGGGAGAAAAGGTTCAAGAAGCCTTGGATGGGTCAGGTACAGCAGAAGCAGAAACAGAGCAGCCGCAGCACGAACAGCAGCAGCGTACAGAACGACAGCTACAGCAGAATACAGAACCACACGCCGCTGCAGAGGCACAAACGACAACGGCAGCTGCAGAAGCGACAGCACAAACCACACCTGACCCTGATGATGAGACGATGACTGAAGTGAAGAAGAGGAACCACCCTGTTGAGGCTGACCCTGAGGAGAGACCTGCTCAAATGGCTCGAGGATCCGACAATCAGGGTCCAGATGAGGCATTTATGCCTGAAGTCGCTCGCTCAAGAAGTCCTCTTCCCCGAGATGATCGCAGTTTGGCATTTCAGTCATACAATCTCTCCCGACAGCTGGATGGCCTACCACCTGTTCAAGAGAATGACCCTGCATTTCAGCGCTTCATGGACGTCACAGGTCCTATGACCGAAGACGAGGCACTGATGGCCGAGTCCTTCAATGAGAAGAAGTTAAGTGCTGAAGATCGCAAGGCTTTCGATGCCGCCAAGGATGCAGCCTTGATGGTTTGGATTGAGAACAAGGCCTGGAAAGCTGTCCCAGAGTCAGAAGCCCAGGAGGGCGAAGTTGTGCCTGCACGTTTTCTTCAAAGATGGAAGCCCACGGCAGATGGACATGTCGCCAATGCTCGAGTCATTTTGCAAGGCTTCCGACATATCGATGTGTTGAGTGAGAACTTGGTTCGTGAATCTCCCACACTGAGTCGCTTGGGCCGCATGATGATCATGGTGTGGGCAACGCATCGATCCTGGAAGTTGTGGTGTGCAGACATCAAGTCCGCATTCATGCAGGCTGATTCGATTGATGACAGCACAAGAATTTTTGTGAGACCACCTGCCGACATGAGACGTCGTTTGGAACGCCTCATGGGACTTCGACCTCATGAGATTCTGAAAGCAACCAAGCCCGCATTTGGTGATGTTCGAGCACCAAGACAGTGGTTCGACACGGCAGACACCTACCTCATCTCCGATTTGAAGCTCATCAGTCATCCACTTGATCGCTGCTTGTATCTTTCCTTGCGCAAAGCTCACCAGGAGGATGATGAATTCCTCACCTTTCGCATGGGAGAAGAGTGGTACATTGTGGATGGTGTACTTGGTTTGCACGTTGATGATTTCATTGGAGCTGGAGAGAATGTCTCAGCGCTGCAAGATGTGAAACAAGATCCCGCTGGAGTGTGTGATTGTTTTCAGCACCGCATGTTCTATCTTTCCTCCCGTTTTCGCTTTGGCAGTTGGGATTTTGGAGAGAAGATGCGTTTTTGTTGAGCTGAAGTGAAGCACACCAGCGATTTCGAGACCATCACTGTTTCATTGCAGCAATACGTGAACAAGATCAAACCTCTCAGCCTTGAAAAGTCTCGAAAAGTCATGGTTGACGACTTTTGCACTGACCGCGAACACAAGCAGTTGAGGGCATTGGTTGGTGCTATGTCATGGCCAGTGACACAATGTCTCCCACAAGCCGCAGCTACAATCAGTTTGCTACAAGCCAACATCAACAAGCCTATGGTCCGTGACATGCTGGAAGCAAACAAATGCTTGCGATTCCTGAAGGATGTGGTGAAGAACTACGTCTTCACGCTGAGAAAGCATTGTTCCTTGGACCAACTCCGTGTTAGCTTGTACTGTGATGCTGCTTGGTCTGTCAGGCCTGATGGCAGTTCGCAGGGAGGCATGATGATGTTTTTGGCAAGCCAATCCGAGCTGGACAGCAATGAACCGTTCCCTTTGACGATCATCGATTGGTCCAGCAAGAAGTTGATCAGGATGTGTCGCAGCAGCCTTTCAGCCGAAGCACAGTCCGCCACGATAGCAGTTGATGAGCTTGAGTGGACGAAAGTTTTCATGGCTGCAATGGTCGACCCAAGTGTTCCAATCCAGGAGGATGAGACCATGCTCAAGTTTGGAGGTTCAGCCGTCATCACTGACGCGAAGGCTCTCTTCGATAGCACGACCTCTGTCACTTCAGGACTCAAGCTTTCTGAGCGAAGGACTGCCATTGAGATTTGTATCCTTCGTGAGCGCTTGGCAGCATCCGGTTCAACAGTTCGTTGGTGCAATTCATTGCAGCAGCTTGCCGATGGGTTGACGAAGGGCAGTTCAAAAGACACTCTAGCACACGTGCTCTCTCGAGGTGTGCATTCCCTTCGATTCGATCCTGGTTTTGTGGCCGCCAAGAAAGTGTCGAAAGCAGATCGCATCATTGAGGAGAAGGAGCTGGAGAAGGCAGCCGAAAGTCTCTTTGATGGTCAGATTTGTTTTGCTGAAGATCCACGAGAAAAAGAACGTGATGGACTATGTCGACTACCAGGTTGCAAGAAGAAGAAAGAAGAAGGAAATGAAAAGAATGCCTATTGCTCCCGACGGCACTACTACTTGCACCAGTTTCGCAAGGGCAATGGTGGAAATGAATGGGAGAAAGCCGCCATTTGTGCTCTCTCCATCCTCGCATGTGAGAACGTCCCTGGAGCCGAGGCAACCAAACAAGATGAGAGTGATGACAACCGCTTTTACAATACAATGTTGGTGATTGTGGTTTTTGCTTTCATTGGTGCATTGAGTTCCTTGCAGATGATTTTTGCGTGGTTGAGCAAAGCTGCACAGAAGGTCAGAGCCATGCTCGTGCTTGAGTATGACGTGGTTCATGAGAATGTGCAGGTTGTTGAGAATGAGGAGCCACCAGCCGTAGGTTTGAGCCATGGCGTGATTGCGAATAACCCAGCCAATGAGAATGACATGAGCTCTGACGATGATGACTACCATGGAAACTTCACAAGTGAAGAGGTCATCCGTTGGGACACGCTCTACACCGAGACTCTAGAAGAAAGAGGACAACGAAAGTGGCTGGAAATCACAAAGATGCTTTGGACAGAGAATTTCACTGCCTCTATGCGTGGGCATCTCATTCAGCACATGCAGCCGAAAGTGAGAATGGAAGCATACCTTTCTTTGACCCTGAGAAAGAAAACTGAAGAAGCAAGCAATGAAGAGGTGAAGCAGTGGCATCGTTGGCTGAACAGCCATTTCGCTTTGATCGCAGAGATTCACATGGATGTCAGGAAGAAAGATGATGAGATCAAGAACCTCACAAACCAACTCCTGGTTCATGAACTTGCGAGTGATCCGCACCGTCGCCAGGTGGAACGATTTCGAAACAATGAGATCATAGAAAAGATGCAGCAAACAGCTCTCACCTACGACCATGAAAATGACCAGATGAACCGTCTTGAAGGACGAACCCATGGTGCGTGGATGTTCGTGAGTACCTACGAGAGCGGACTCAAGAAATGAGAGCCGGGCCCATTTTTGAATTTTCTTCGAAGACCAAATTTGAGTGGAATTTCTTTAAGCTTCCACCGGTCTGATTGCAGTTGACACTTTCACCATTTCATGACAGATTCTCACATTTTCTACCGCGGCCGCCAGGGCCCTTGAGTGCACATAGATGCTACGACCCCCGACTTGTTAGGAAAACAGGTTCCAGACTTCGTGCGCTGTTCAACCTGGACACTTTGAAAAAGAACATCACAGGGATCCATGGGTCAACAAAGCTGCAAAGGATATCCATTCGTGCCCTCGTGAGGCTTGCTCTACCAGTCGTTACATGAATGGTCATGTCACATGTCGCAGCTCCCACACCGATGGACCGATGATCGACCCAAGAGCGGTCCAATCATGCCCTCAACCGAGATTGTGAGAACCTCCAAACACCGCAAATCATGCCTCTTCAGGAGGTGGCGACATGCCCTGCAAACAAAAAGGAACCCGGAACTCGGATGACCGCTAGGGTTGGAGGCCATCGCCCGAACGGCTTTGCCTCACTGACCACGAACCCGGTGGACTTCGCAACTTGGAGCCCAAGATGTCAGCTACGCGCAAACAGAATGCAGAACACCCAAAACCAAAGAGATACCTTTGCACAAACGCCAAGAACTAAGCATGACATCATGTATGACTCACCATTCTGGGACAACTGACGGGATAGAGCTATAGGAACCTCATGATGAAGGAAATCAGTATAATATATATTATATATACGATATATATTATATATATGTATTTATAGCTAATAGTGACTCCTTCTTCTCGCGATCAGCAGCTGGACTCACAAAGTAGCAGACTTTTTTTGTCATGTTCAGGCTTGCGAACGTAGCTGTATGGTGCAAGTAGCGGCCCAATGGCACGTTGCCTTGGAATTGTCGGCAAGAGGTCGGAAGATGTATTTCCTTTCTTGGAAGGTGTATTTTGTTTGCAAATCAGGAACACGCATAGAATATCATAGAATGATATAGAATGTGTGGAATGTTCGGGTCGAGCATCTGAAGTGCAAGCGTGGACCTTCAGCAGTGTCGCGCACCTCCACAGGAGAGTTCTCACCTCAGCTCACTTCACAGCTGTGGCACGCGCCAACTAGTATCGCACTGATCAATCGGAGAATTCTGTTGCGACCATGAAAGGTCTGAAAGGTCGTTGTAACGAGAAAACCAAACAGTAATGGTGCTGGAATGACAAAAACGGAGTTCTTCTGAAGGATGGGACAGGAAACCTTGAAAAGGTTTCTCTTGCAAGCCTCCCGCTATCCTCCCTGCCCTCCCTGTTTGGACTGTTGGTCTTCATGAATGTGAATGTAAAGGTTCCCAATCAAAGGCTTGTAAAGGTTTCCAGTTTCTTAGCAAAACGCATAGTGGTAGGTCACTGCTGGGGCCCCAGCCTTCAGCCAATGTGATGTTGTCTATGCTAGCATCTTGTGTTAGCAGCTGGCGGGCATAGTTCATCATCGCTCCCGCTGACATGGAGATCAAAGACTCCGCTGCATTCAGCATTGTGGCGGGGACCTTCCAAGTTGCCATGGTCATTGTCGAAGACTTAAAGTTTAAGGGTCTGAGAGGAAAGTCTCAGAGTGCACGCAGCGGCGACTTTGGGAGACTTCCGCTGTCCCTCTCTGTACCTCTCTTGCACATTTAAATCTGCATTCAATCATTCATATAATGCCTTTTGAGGGTTGCTTGAGCATCGATATGTTTTCTCTAGATACGCACCGTGTTGGTGTCGGAGCTCAAAACTCAAAACATAAAACATGTTTCCAATTACAATTGAATGCAAAGGGGAAGCAAGTGAAACAAAAATGAATGAACACTGCCTTTTGCCGAAGCATCTTTGCTACAGTGATCCGCAGCACCAGGAGCAATGCAGCTTGGCCATCGACCCTCTGCAAGCTCTCCGCGTGATTGTCCAGTTCTCCACCTTCGGGTCACAGCAAGAAGGTCCAAAACAAGCTCCCAGTAAATTCTGCCACAGTGTAGTAGTACTAATCTGTATCTCACATGCATGAAAAACCGTGTTTGTTGAGTACAGGACGTTGCCTGTAAGGTATTTTAAGGAGCGGCTGAAACAAAACCATTGCATGCCTGGCCCTCCTTACCCAGAGCGGTTTTGTGGTATGGAATGCCTCTGGATATCACTTCGGGCTGCGGGTTTTCTGTTCCCCCCATAAGTTGTTCTTCAAAGCAAAGCATGCGAGGCTTCTACTCCTGTGTTTCTTCAGGACACGCAATAAAACCCTGTCTGCAAGGTCCCTTCTTGGTCACACTCCGAACCACCGATGAAACGTGCGGGCATCCGGCCTGCGTCTTGCCAAATGCGGGAACGGTTGCTCCAGTGTGACGCAGCATCAAGATAATCGTAGAGTCCAAGAATGCCAGCAGAGCCCGAAGTGTTCGAGGATGCTCTGACCTAAGGCGTTCAAGCTCAGCTCGAAGCAAAGCGCCCTTGCTCTAAGGGCCTTACTTGCAGATCTGCCACCAACCAGGGCAGAGGCAAACGGCCTCTGTTGCCCAACGACTCTCTTCCTCCGGTCCTCGATCCATCTCGGGAGGTGGACGGTTGCGAACCAAAGGCAAGAATCGGCTAGGCCAAAGCCGAGTGCAACGCATCTGACATCGCACTCCCTCCTTCGTACTTCTTCCAGTTTCTTAAAACCCTCTGGAGTGGAGATCTTCCACACATCGAAACCTGACCAGTTGCGAATCGATTCACAGAAAAGCTGCTCCGGGCGTGGCGTGGTATAGGCATGTATTGCTGCGGACTGTGTGCAAACGACCGAAGAATGAATCGACAAAGACATACAAAGACAGGCACTGTAAATTTCCAAAACTTGGTGGCACAAACACCTTCCAGCCTCTGAAGGTTCAAGCATTACAATTGCATAAGAGTGTTTCGGCGGTCTGCTCTGAGGTCACCACTGAAGGCGAGGCCGAACAAAGGAATCAAATTCCAAGACTTGCATTCGCCCGCTCGCTGCACGAATGTGTTCGGCCAGCCTGACGAAGGAACGGCCGAACTGGCTACAGCACTAAATATAGCGATGTATACCGTGTTCATCCGTGTTCCTGTGATCGACAAAGTTCGGTGAAGGCCCACGGAAATTGCCTGATCCCCGCAGGAGCTCGCTATAGCCGGAGACCTCCACTATCGCGTCGAAAGGAAGCTGTATTGCCATCATCACATGCTCACCTTGTCAAAACAAACGAGACATATGGTGTCTTGCGAGTTGCTTCGGGAGACACACTGAGTTAAACCGAATGCGGCACTGTTCGTCGTACCGCTTTGCGAACTGGTTTCCAGACAGAACTCGGTGCATTCTGAGGATGTGGCATACAAACTCCTCCGTGTGCCAGGCACCATCTGAGAAATGCAGTGGCAGTGGATCCTGCAACCCAAAGCTGATATCAACAAACCTCAAACGTATAGAAAACGTCAAGCCGATCTCAAACAAATGGTCACGCAAAAACCCTTAGCGGCAATTTCGTGGGGAGTCATGATTTGAGTCAAAGAAGGAATTTGCAAAGAAGAGATTTGCCGTTTTTCAGAGGCAAAAGTATTCAGTTTTGAAAGTCTGCAAACGTGAGCCTTCACGATCTCTGCAAACCCTATGTCAAATACATTCAAATTTTGCCATTGGTCCGCCCAGAGACCTGAGCATAAGTGTCTTTGCAGAAGTGCATGACCTGTCGAGGTGTGGGGGGATGCTGTCGATAGGTGTGGACGTCGATAAGCTCGACAAGCAAAAAGCTTGATAAGCTACAAAAATTTCGAAGGTAGGAAGCTACTAGGAACAAGAGCATTGCTACTAGTAACAAGTGCCTTACTAGTAGTAACAATAAAGCTACTAGTAACAAGTGCATCGCTACTAGTAACAAGTGCCTTACTAGTAGTAACAAGAAGCTAGTAGGAACAAGTGCGTAAACCGAAACTTGCCTCGCTCGCGTCCGGACCCAAGGTGCGAACATTCTCCTAAAAACGAAAAGGTCTCGAAAGAAGGATTTAACAATAAATAACGTTTAACAACATCAAACAGTGTAGTTTTGAAATCACCTCAGTTTCAGCACGTGAAGTCTTGCGGCATCTTCAGGAAAAGTAACTGTTGCAATAATGGAGCGCAGCAGCCGAGTCTGCTTGCTACTTACCAATAGAGTGAGTTGCGTTCAATCCTACCTTTCCAAAGGGCTTGAGTCAAATGAACATCATTGGCTCCTCAAGAGTCTCACGCACCTCTGGCAAGTAGCACCTCACGATGTCTGCACATCTAATGAGGCCCTTTCTGTCATGGGGCCTACCGGGCCAGTTCAGATCTCTTGTTGCACTTGCAGCTCGAATGTGATTCAACAACTGAATTTAATAAAGTTTTCTGCCCAAAATTCCTCCCTGCCATGTAACGTGCAGTCAAGGCACTCAACAAATTGCTGGGACTTCACCTGCAATCATGAATATCCTAAATTCAATGGACCAGCAGTTCTTGAGGTATGAAGCACTTTTATGGTGCCCCCATGATGTTTGGATGCAAATCTGCCCATGCGCTGATCGTAGAAGGGAAGATAAACAAAGAGTATGCTGTATGACCAGGTGGCGTAAATGCTACGTACACTGTCCGTTTTGGAGATGTGGAGACCACACCGTTGACGGCCTCATTGTAGGCCCATCGACTGCGTTGAACGGATCCGGCATCACTGATACAAGCTCCCTGACTCTGGCCGCGGCGAAACCAGCCGTAGCAAGCATCGTTCACCCAAATGTATTCCTCGTCGGAACACCTGGAGGCGGGTGACATAACACAATCATAGACAAAGCTTGATACAATCTTTCCCAGCCTTTTGGCCAGCTGGGGACTAGAGTCACTAGAGCTAGAGCAAAGGAATGTGGCCCGAAGAGCCCCTCAGTTCCAACCCAAGTGGCCCCATCGTGATGCCCAGAATACACCGCCCTTCGAAGACTTCGGACCTTCTCAGCGATGCATTCAGCGAGGATGATGAAACGGACAGAATCAGGACGTCACAACAAATCAGTTGTGTTGCTATTTGAGTATCTGACTCCAAGGTCAAAGTGCATGGAAAAGGCGGTGGGAAGGCAAAGGAAGCTGAAAATCTCCTTCAACGTGTGCAAGATCGTGGAACATGTTCAGTTGCATATCAAGATACTGCCTGCTCTTACAAGTGCCACTTCGTTGCGAAACCACGAAGCAAGGAACAGTCGAACGATGCACAATGCAACAAAGGCACCCGGTGTCTCGCCTGTACACCTGGCACAATCGTCTCAAAAACTCTGAAGGGCATTGTTTCTATTTGTTTCTCATCATCGCGCCTGCAGCAGTTGATCCTCACGCAGACCGCGAATCATAGCATAGGGCTGTAGCAAGTCTTCAGTCTGCCTGGACCAAGTGCGTATCAAAGAAGCTCTTTAACCTTTTTTGTTTCAAACATTGTGTCTGAATAAAGTTGTGTGCATTCGGCGCATATTCTGCACTCTTCACGCTCCTGTCACGAACAAAGGAGTGCTTCGCCAAGAGTTGCTGCAATTTCGCGAGGACCGGAAAGGGCGAAGTGACAATCAAACCTCACAAAGTTCGTCACAGTACGTACAAACGAAGTCGAAAGCGCCAGGTTAAAAAGGTTTCATGACCAACAAAGCTATACTCATGCTGCTTGCTATTTCATCAAACTTGAAGGTAGGTCCCTTGCCAAAGTCTAAAAGCTTCAGAACTCCAAACAAACAGGAGCACAAGTTGCCAACAGCCAGACATCAGATCTTCCCCCTCACTCCGAAGGTTTGATTCGAAGCACCTTGAGCTGCAAGGCGATCTACATTGTCCACCAGCACTGGCCAGCGGTTTCTCGGCACATAGTGCGCCACATCCAACAACAAGGCCTTCGGGGATCTCGGGCGGATCTGCACTGACGTAAGCCAAGGCTCGTCCGTCCTACTTGCGTTTTCCGACTCTTCTATCGTCCGGGATGGAGCTTTGTTAAAGGAAACGGAAGCGCATTCTGCTCGGAATTGACCCAAGTGCCAAGTGTCCCAGTCGGCGGCCCTGGCCCAGGCCAACTTGTTGGGTTTGGAAAAGTTCCGCCGCGCGAGCCAAACCATGTGCTCGGCGTCCCAAGACCTCTCGGTGTGGACAAATGTCTGTAAACTCAGTTCACAGTCTTTGCTTCTTTAGACATCTTATTCCCTGTCTTCTCCCAATTAAGGCTTCTAAAATCAACTCATGGTTCACGAAACACCCATAAATCTCCGATCCTTTTATGTGTTCTCCACACATTGTTCTTTTCCAAACCGTACACCTTGGCTCCCACGCTGTGAGGCGTTGAAGACCAAGATCAATCCCCGGTCTTCGTCCAACACCGGGCTGAGGAAGAAGCCAAGGCATCCAGGAGTGTAGCAGCAGTTCAACAGACTCCTGGCTGAGCATGAAGACGCATGAAGTTGAAAACACATTATTAAAGAACGCGTCTTAAAAAGTGAATAACAAATATGTATTTGTTATGTTTTTCTTTTGTATATAATTCATTTTTTGCTGTATCTCACTTGGGGAACATGTTGCGATCTGACTAAGCTGCAGGCAGATCGACCACAAGTCTTTCAAGGCGTGACACTTCAACAACAGCGCAAAGAGCAAGACTCCCTGGATGCAACTCTGAGTTGATGCTATGGGTTTTGGATGGGCTAGGCTTGCTGTGTCAAATCCTAGGATGGTCCAGGAAAAAACACTGGGAAATGCAAATCAACAATAGTTAAGAGTCAAAAAACCAAAACGTATCAAATGTCCTGAGGCCAAACAATCCGACTTGAAATGTCCTACATGTTTGTCTTGTGGGGTACCGCTGTCATCAACAGAGTAACCATACCTTCGAACACCCAGATATCGACCAGCTTCCCAGTTCATCTTTCGCATCCAGGAGTCTTGAAGGTCTCTGCTCTGGTCATGTGATGAAACTCGGCTGCGCTCAAAAGCCGCTCCAAGGACTGGGTGCCACCAATCAAGCTGCAGGAGCGAGTGGTCATAAAGCTCCTTTGGGAGGAGTGGATGGACATAGGAGTCGGTCGACGTAGTGGGCTAGGTCGATCTAGGTCATCTACGGTTTTTTCTTGCATAGTAGAAAGTGGATGCACAGTGAGAGATCTCACCCGTCTACCCCAAAAGAGACAAGTATCAGCTACTTGAAGCCCCTTTGAAGGACAGTCCCTACGGATCTGGATCGCTCCTTGGATCCAAGTGCTGTGTCAAATCCAATTCCACAAGGTCGTGACCCAAGATCTCACGAAGTCCTCGAAAGGCCCGGAGTCCGAAGTGCGGTGTCCTTTAGGAGGCTGTCAAATAATTGACACTTTGAACACTGAAAAGACACACATCAATCCGCCGGCCTGCCGGCGTGTTTTGTGGATTGTTTTGGTTAATATTGCTTGTGTTGGCTTCAATCTACGGTTTGTCTCTCCGCGCGGATTTTTCGACAGCCTGACACCCCCCCCCGTTCAGTTCGGTAGCGAACTAAAAACAAAGGAAGTAGGGATACTTCTCTATATATCTATGGAGTGTGAATACACTTCTCGATTTGTGCGTGTCGAATCGAAATGCAACGCATCGGACTTTTGCTGTGACTTGAGCCAATTCGAAGGTGAAACTAGGCTGAAGTGCGAAAACAACTGAGGAACATGTTCAAGCAACCATCGTCTGTTTGTATTCCAACTTTCGTACTCTTCTTCTTGCTTGAACTGTATGCAACAACTGCTCAACCAACCACGCCGAATCCGGCACGAACACGGACAGGACCTTGGATGGTCCAATGACCTGACGTCAACATCTCGTGCAGTGACTTGGAAACGTAACCTGTGTGCTTCGTCAGCACATCAGCATGTAGTGCGTGGTCAAGTGACCAAACCTTCTCAAACGCCCCGACCTTCGCTCTTCGCGAATCGCTAGAATACCGAGTCGTTGCGACTTGTCAACCGGAACACCCTTCTGTCCTGTTGCAAGGTCGAACAAGTCCATGCAATCAACGTAAGCGTCTGTAGCAAGCCAGGGACGCAAGGAATCTGTAATGTGCAGCAATGCCATAGGAGTCAAACGGTCAGGCCACACATAACTCATCAAGTCTGGTTCACAGATCCTCATTGAAACTAGCTGAGCATTTGGAATCGCTCGTGCACAAGCGTGTGTTTCGGCATGCGACGTGCTGTGGCTAATCCTCTTGGATTTGGTTGAAGTGCATATCAACAAATGCATATGACCACCATGCACACCTGAAGTGCCATCGACCACAAAATCATGCTTGTCAACTTGTAGTGGATGCGCATGGTCTTCTGCCAACAACACACAGACACCTTCCGTGGCATAATCCGACTGCTTATTAGCCGCTGAAGCGTCAGAAACACATACCACGCGTAGTGGAGGAGTCAGCAAGCGAAAGTAGATTCCAAATCGTTCTCGATGTGAAGATCTCAGACGCTTGATTGCCTGGTTGGCATTGATCAGGTCTTTCACTTGAGGCTTTGAGAGCTTCTGCTGCAACGAAGTGATACAACTCAACTCATGGCAGTTTGTCTGACATGCCCAAAGTGCTCCACAAGTAAGAGACCTGAAGGTGGTCACATCTGCACCTGTCAAGAACTCATCTTCTTTCCGACTCTTGTCAATGTTTGCAAGGACCAGTTTACTGCAAAAATGATCCTGATGAAGTCGAAGTGTCCCGGAAGGCAAACGTTCAAGTTCTATACCCGTGTGGGTGTACGGCATGCGCTGTCGCTTGAGAGGTCCAAAACGTTTCTCTAACATGCCATGCAACCAAGTACGTTTTGCCAAACACCCTGTGACTTGCAGATCATCAACATGAGCTGTAAGCAACAATGTCAACTGCCACTTGTCGTCAACATATTCAACCCAATACAAAAAGTTTGAGTCAAACAATGACTTGTGTGCCCCACATTCCTCTTCAAGGTATTGCAACAATGCAAGTTGAAACATAAGTGGAGCATCCGAGAAGCCGTATGTTGCTTTGAGAGCCTTCAGACACCAATGTTCCCTTGAGGCATCCGGAACTTTCAAATATTCGGGAGCGTCCGACATTCGTCTAAAATGTGACCACGCGTTTTCCGGCGGAACCACGCAGACCGATCGAAGCGCTTTCTGTTCGAAACCTAGCTGTCGTGACAACCGTTCCAAGTCCTCATACCTCAGACCTTGAAGAAACGCGCACGAGATGTCAAGGGATTCAGTATCGATGTCATCTCCCCAAATGAGCCCCTCAACCATGCCAAGTGACAACACTAGACGCTGTGACAATCTGCTCGCTGTACTGCTATGGCGATCTATGAGATGCTTCTGACGATCGAAGCAGCCTCGAGCGCACATTCTAGACTTTACTATCGTCGGTCGTTGCTTCCACTTCCGAACCCAAACACAATCCACAATGTTGCTGTTTGCTGGAAGATCAGAACGTTTCATGCCTTCAAACACTGAATGCTCAACGAACTGATGCAACTCTTTGAAATCTGCAATGTGAACTGTTTCTGAAAAATCAATGAGTTCCTGCTCTGTCAAATTAGCCGTGTCATCATCGACCCGTAAAATCTCCAATGTGTTCACATCTACCAAATACTCAGCAAACCCTTCATGCGGCGACACTGAGTTCCACATGGCTCGAAATTCCGGAAGGAGCGAAACGAGCATGTTGTGTGCTTGCTGGTGTTCAGACACAGTATCTGCATAATATGGATTACTATCTTTATGGTGTGTGAACAAGAAAGAGAAAACATTACCTTGCTGAAAGTTGCCATCGAAAGCAGAGACTCTGGACGTCCCTGTGAAGCTCTGAGGTCCTTCCAGCTCTTCATCTTTATACTCCACAGTGGCATCAGAGTGATCTCTGTAGTCCACCGTGGCATTGGAGTCATTCACGGAGGAATCAAGCGGTTCAGCCATGGATGGTTGCAGTGTTTCTCCATCCGTAGGAGGCTGAAGTGCTCTTTGTTCTTGTGAGGAAGATGCCGGCTCGTTTGAAGAAGCAATAGTCCTGGTGGATCATCATCATCTGTTCTGCGATGTTTGACTGCGTCGCCTTCATCATGCGAGCGGTCGAGTTCTTGCTTCTTGTATTTGTCTTTTGTCTCTATGGTCACTTCTTGTGGTGTTGGTGTGTCGGATTGTGGTAGTTCTGGTGTTGGTGCAGTTGAATGTGGTAGTTCACGTCTTGTGACTTTTGTAGTGGATGAGGTCAGTGGAAGATTTGAGAGTGGTTGAGCTTGTTGCAGAGGTGGTTTATCTCTGACAGTGGAAAGTGGTTTCTGCGGTGATGGTTGTACTGGTACATGCATAGAAGTGTCGTTGGTAGTTTGTATTGGAAGATGGTCGTAGTTCTGGAAGTGATGGAAAGTGCGGTTGTTGTGGTAATCGCAAAGGCTGTTCTGCAATCGCTTGTGGTGACGGAGGTGATGGTGGCGGACCATCATTGTATGTAGGTGGTGCTTGTAGTTCTGGTAGTGTGGACTCGTCTTCATTCATGCTTTCTTCTGTCACTGGCGGCAAAGTGGCTGGTGGTACAAATGGTGGCTGTTGTGGTGCAGATGGCGCTGATGTACTTGATGAAGTGAAAGGAAATGGTGGTTGTTGTGGAGCTGGTGGAACGCTTGGAGGTGGTGCTTGTGGAGGATCGAACATGCTGTGGTCTTGTGGTGCATGAGGATGTTCTGATTCCATTGATTCCTGATCGCTGTCGGAGTCAGGTGGAATGGAGCGTGGATCGATGCTGGAGATGTCGTCCCAGTCTATCGTTTCTTTCTTCACTCTTGGATCTTCTGCTGCTTCACGATACGTGTAAAGAAACAGTGTGCTCCATCCTTGATGTGGTGCAAAAGTCTTGGTGGCGCTGAGGCGAAGTTGCGTCAGCTCATATTGGTGCGGAGTCACTCTGTTCCATCGCAGCAATAGACCTTGAGAATGTTGGCGTGGACATGGAATGCGACGAAGGTCAGTGCCATAAAGCAGACCATGTATTTGGCCTAGATGTTGCTGAAGGTCTGATTGCTCCACAGCGCGGTAGACAGGGTGCTTCACAAACTCTTGGAAAGTTGGCACCCATACACCAGTGAGATCTTCTTTGACTTTGTAACCAATCCAGATGCATTTGCCAGGAGGTGTCGCATCGATCAGCTGCTGCAAGATCTTGTAGCTCTGTGGAACAGCAGGTTGACGAATCTCGCCTTTGGCCGTGAAGTGAAAAGTCACACTTGTGTCATCTGTGTGGGCAGACAGAACTTCGTTGAAGTAGTCCATTGCCACATGCCTTCGAATGTGATTGAGAGGCAGCACAAGTGGTTGTCCTTGATGAACAACTATTGCTGTTCCCGTCATCCGTTGCACAGAAACAAGCTCAGCTGGACCATGCCATCCATAGTCGTCTTTTCGATGTGGCTGTCGATAGATGTCAACAGTCATACCTGGAATGAGGAGACTGAGGTCATGCTTCTGCTGTTTTGTTCTTGCAATAGCGAAACGTTCACCAACAACAGCTTGCAGGATGGCTTGTTTAGCCAGGAGGCGACCTCGAATAGCTTGCTCTGCAAAATCAGCTCGAACATCCAATGCACCTGTGTGAGACTGCAATTGTGCACAGTCCATGTTCCAGTATTCTCTGGGATTCACGCCAGTGACTGCTGTTTGAGGTGTCACACCACCTTTCTCCAGTAATGCATTTTGACACATGGTGACTTCATTGATGATGTCGTCGTAGGAAAGGTTCAAGCCTTCTCGTCGAGAGGCTTCATGCAGGATCAGCATAGAATGCTTGGTCAGACCAATGTGTCGTTCAATCAGCCCTGTTGAATGATATGCTGCTGTCCCAACAAAGGTTCTTGTAATGCCCAGTCGCTCACAGAAAACGGTGGCTTCAGCGCTGCCGAGTCCTCCTTCTTGATCGGAACATAGAGTCTGCATAGGACCCCAAATGCGAATCCACTGGGACATCAGAGCTTTCAACAATGTTGGTGCCTGCTTGTTTTCAAGGCGACAGCCTGTTTTCCAATGTGTGCAGCTATCGATGTAGAGGGCAAAAGGCTGATCCCATAGGAAGAACAAGTCTTGATATACCAATTCATTGAACTGTGTGGCAACATGTCCGCGTAGCAGTGGTCTTGGTGCTTTGTTGGCAAACTTCTGACATTCAGAGCACTGTTGACAGACTTCAACGCCAAGATGCAGGATGTCTTTGGGCATCATCATGGCTTGTAGCAAGCGGATCATGTCTGTAACACCACAGTGGAAGAATCGTTGATGT